AAGGCCATATATGGCAAGCCCACAGCTAACATCAAACTCATCAGGAACAAGACAAAGATGCCCTCTCTCGCTACTTTTATTCAACATAGTATTAGAAGTCCTAGTCAGAGAAATTAGGCAAGAAAAAGAAATAAAACTCATCCAAATTGGAAAGGAAGAAGTAAAACTGTCACTAGTTGCAGACGACATGATATTATATAAGAAAGCCTTAAAGACTCCACTAAAAAACTGTTATAACTAATAAACATATTCGGTAAAGTTGCAGGATACAAAATAAAGATATACAATAATCTGTTGTGCTTCTATTCACTAATAATGAACTAGCAGAAAGAAATTAAGAAAACAATCTCCTTGTAAATTCATCAAAAAAAATAATAAGTACCTAGGAATAAATTTAACCAAGGAGGTGAAATACCTGTACACTGAAAAATACGAGACATTAATGAAAGAAATTGAAGAAGATACAAATAAATGGAAAGATATTCCGTGTTCATGGATTGGAAGAATTAATATTGTTAAAATGTCCATACTACCCAAAGCAACCTACAGATTCCATGCAGTCTCTATCAAAATTCCAATGACATATTTTGGAGAAATAGAACAAACAAACAATCCTAAAATTTTTATGGAACCACAGTAAACCCCAAATAGCCAAAGTAATTTTGAGAAAGAAGAACAAAGCTGGAGGCATCATGCTTCCTGATTTAAACTATATTACAAAGCTATAGTAATGAAAACAGTGTGATATTGGCATAAAAACAGACACATAAATCAATGGAACAGACTGGAAGGCCCCAAAATAAACCCGTGCATAGATAGCCAATTAATTTACAATAAAGGAGCTGAGAATATACAATGGTAAAAGGACAATCTCTGCAATAAATAGTATTGGGAAAACTGGACCACTACTTTAAACCATACACAAAAATTAATGCAAAATGGATTAAAGACTTGATCCTAAGACTATAAAACTTCTAGAAGAAAACATAAGTGGAAATCTCCTTGACATCGGTCTTGGTGATGATTTTTTGGATTTGACACCAAAAGCAAAGGCAACAAAAGCAAAAATAAAATGCTTCTGCACAGCAAAGGAAACCATCAGCAAAATGAAAAGGCAACCTACCAAAAAATGAATCATATTCCTCAAAAAATTAAAAATAGAAATACCTTATGATCCAGCTATCCCACAAACCCGAAATCAACAATCCAAAGAGGCTTATGCACCCCTATGTTCATCACAGCTTTATTCACTATAGCCATGACATGGAAGCAATCCAAATGTCCCTCGACTGATGATTGGATAAAGAAGATGTGGTATACATATACCATGGACTACTACTCAGCCATAAAAAAAGACAAAATCGTCCCATTTGCAACAACATGGATGGACCTGGAGGGTATCATGTTAAGTGAAATAAGCCAGAAGGACACAGACAAACAGTGCATGATTTCACTTGTATGTGGAAGATGAACCAACACAAGGACAGATAGAACTGTTGGTGGTTACCAGAGGCTGGGGGGTGGGGATGGGCACAAGGGGTGGAGGGATGCACTTATATGGTGACTGATAGACAATAATGTACAACAAAAATTTCACAATAAAAGGAAAGGAGCACAAATAAAAAACAAAACAAACAAATAAGAAATGTTCTCTGAACAAAATGAATCATATTTTGCAAATATGATTTGAAAATCATATATCTAGTAAGGGGTTAATATCCAAAATATATAAAGAATGCATACAACTCAATAGTAGAAAACAAAACAATTTGAGTAAAAAATGGGGAGAGGATCTGAATAGACATTTTTCCACAGAAGACATACAGATGGTCAACAGGTACATGAAAAGATGCTCAACATCACTAATCATTAGGGAAATGCATATCAAAACCACACTGAGATATCATCTCATACCCATTAGAATGGCTATTATCAAAAAGACAAGAAATAACAAGTGTTGGTGAGGATGTGGAGAAAAGAGAACCCTTGTGCACTGTTGGTGGGAATGTAAATTGGTACAGCCACTATGGAAAATAATATAGAGGTTCCTCATAAAAGTAAAAATATAACTGTCATATGATCCAGCAATTCCACTTCTTGATATTTATCCAAAGGAAACGAAAACTCTAACTCAAAGATATATTACACCCTTGTGTTTATTGCAGCATTGTTTACAAGACATGGAAACAAGCTAAGTGTCCATCAATGGATAAATGGATAAAGAAAATGTGGTGCGTGTATATATATATATATACACACAATATATACAATGTAATATTATTCAACCATAAAAAAGAAGGAAATCTTGCCATTTGTGACAACATGAATGGACCTTGAGGGCATTATGCTAAGTGAAATAAGTCAGACAGAGAAAGACAAATATTGTATGATCTCACTTCTATGTGAAACCTGAAAAAAAAGCCAAGCTCACAGATACAGAGAACAGATTGATAGTTGCCAGAGGTGGGGGGTGGAGATGGGCAAAATGGGTGAAGGTAGCCAAAAGTGCAAACTTCCAGTTATAAAATAAATAAGTCATGGAGAGGTAGTGTACAGCATGGTGACGATTGTTAGTAATACTGTATTGTAAATTTGAAAGTTGCTAAGAGAGTAAATCTTAAAAGTCCTCACAACAAGAAAAAAATTTTTAACCCTGGTAGTGGATGTGTGGTGATCATTTCACAATATACAAAAAAATCAAATCATTATGTTGTACACTTGAAACTAATATAATGTAATTTGCCAATTATATCTCAATAAAAAAGGAAGGAGTGGTCTAAAGTATCAAATAACACTGATTAGCCCACTAAAACGAGGACTGAAAATGTCCATTGAATTTACTGACCTGACTTGAGTGCTGTTTTAGTGGAGTTCCGAAACCTGGCTGGAATGGATTAAGAAGTAGACGGTAGATGAATAAATAGAATAGTGACTATATGCAACTCTTTTGAGAAGTTTGACTATGAAGAAAGGCAAGATATAGTTTGCTAACTAGAGGGAGATGTGGTCTAGGAATAGGTTTTATTTAAGGTGCTTGGATATTTAAGGCTGCTTGGATATGGAAAGGGAAAAAAAGAATCATTAATAGTGTAGGCATGAGGGGATGAGGTCTAAACAAAAGGCAGAAAGCACTGGTTTTGGATGGGAGGAGAAACAGACACCTCCTTTATTAAGTCAGGAGGGCAGGAGGGAAGGATGGGTACAGATGTGGGTTGCTTGGCTTATTTGGCAGTGGCAAGTTGGAGGAATTCCCATCTGATGCCTGTTATATTCCCTGGCAAGTAGGCATTGAGATCAGCTGGAGAACAGAGATTGGAAGGTAAAGGTTTGGGTGTTTGAGGAGTCTGGAGAAAATCTGAGATAGCCATTGAAAAGCCAGAAGAGCAAGTTAACCAGACAAACAGGATTTCAGGTTTGAGTTCAGGGTCCATTTGTGGTTAATTAAAGTGCATTTGGGGGCCGGCCCTGTGGCTTGGTGGTTAAGTGTGCGCGCTGCGATGCTGGTGGCCCGGGTTCGGATCCCAGGTGCGCATCGAGGCACCACTTCTCCGTCCATCCTGAGGCCGAGTCCCACATACAGCA